GCTTTCCAGGCTGTTTAGGAGAGTAAAATTATATACATGAAAATGCTTCGGGAAGTTTGGCTATCTCATTAATTCCTATTTTTAAAGAAACAGCGTTTGAGGTTTTCTCTTCTGATTGTAAAAGGAAAGCAGAATTATTTTAGAAAAAGCCAACTCCAGAAATGGGCAAGTCACGTGTCCTCAAAGCAGAAGATGTGGACAGGATTTCAGACTCAGAACAGGGCCTCTGGGTTTGGCCTGGGAGGGCGAGACCCCAGGTGAGACCTTRGGGCTTCCCCTCCCTGACCTTCAGTTTCCTCGATGACCTTGTTGATAGGTTCCTTGTTGACTAAAGCCACAGGATGTCCTTGTGTTCTAAAAACCCCTAAATATAATATAAATGCACAAATGTATCAGTGTATGGATGCAGCATACACTGCATACACTCTACACAAGTGATTTCTGATTGAAGGACCATTTACAGAAGTAGTCCTCTGGAGTCACGCAAGGTCAGTGCCCAAGGCGGGGAAGTCCTGCACCTCAGTCTTGTGGGGACCAGTTTCATTAGCAGCTCTTCCAATAGGGTCTCTCCCCAGCAGCGTTTGTCCCTCAACAACAGCCCCAGAGGGAGACCCCTGGGGTGGTCTTCAGCTCCCCAGGGCTTTCTTCACAGTCAGGGCTATGGTGTGAACATYCCCAGGGCTCTGGGGTCTGAAGGCTTGGTCCACTGGGTGGCACTACTGGAAGGAAGTGGGACTTTGGGGAGGCAAAGATGAAAGGGAGGTCCTTAGGTCACTGGGGTATTTCCTTGGAATGAGGTCCTCCTGGGACTCCCTGGTGGCTTCCTCTCCAGAGTCCTTATGAAGGCCAGAGTCTGGCCCCTCTCAGCCTCTCTGCTTCCAGGCTTAGGCTGACTCCAACACACACTCCTGACCTTGCTGTCACCATTTTCCATGGGCCTCACTAGATCTGAGCTTTTGCAGATGCCACTGCCCTGAGCCTCCAGAACTGTATGTAAGCTGCAAAAACCTCCCTTCACATCATATGTGGCCTGACTTGGGCATTTAGTTATGGTAACACAAAACTGACAGGTACACTGGCCATAGCCACAGCTGACCATTACTTCCCAAATCCAGGAAAGAAACCAAGGCCCAGCCAGGAACCACTCAGCAGTCTTAACATTGTCAAACTGGGAAGAAGACTCCAGAGGGAAGGGGGACCCACTGCATGGGCTGCCCTGGGCTGCAAGCCTCRGGAATGTTCTTTTATTTTAACCTCATCACGGGGCAGTGGGTCCTAAGCACCACTAGGCTCAGTGTATAGATAAAGGAGCTGCAGATCTGAGCTGTGAAATAAACCTGCTCACTCCCTGAGGAAGAGGCATCAGCTCTTTGCCAATCAAATCCTTTTGAACTCACAGCTCACTCCCAATTCTTGGCCCTTGGGATGCATTACTGAGCAAGAGGGTGCTAAGCCCACACCCCTGTCAGACCTTCTGTTTCTAAAGTACTGCCAAAGATGAGCAAAGACAGGCCCCTCTTCCAGGAAACAGGACAGGAACTTAAGAACACACATAAAATCACTTGTCCAAACTTGAATTTGTCCAACTTCACTAAAAAAAAGCTGAGAGGCACTGAGCTGTTTGGGAGTGACTTTATTAGGCTTTGATGATGCACTGATCATTCTGCGACTGCAGGTCTCAGCACCTACTGAATGATTCCCAAGGTCTGTGTGAGTGAAGCTGTGGCCTTGGTGTGGCCAAAGAAAGCCCCAGCCTGGACACCAGCTTCCCAGGGCCTAAGCTCACCTGCTCTACAGAACCGCAAGGCACGTGTCACAGAATCAAATGTGACACATTCACAGTGGCAGCCACATGAGTCATGCTGTCCAGGAGCAGTTGACTCAACTCACAGCAGAGATGGGCTCCCACCGGGCAGAGCAGGGAGGAGGCAGGAGCCATCTGAACACATGGAGGACCTCAGACTTCCTCYAACTCCCCTGCCCTGCAGCGGATCAGGGATCAGAAGGAAGATTTGGAGGAGGGAACAGGCTCTTCCCAATGTGTTAAAAATAATAATGCATCACAGTATGGTATATGGGAATTTGTTAGGGGAAAAAAATCTTTAAAGTGAACCTGGCATAAAACGAACCTTTTCTCACCTTATTTTTAAAAGTCAGGACTATTTAAAGCTCATCATTCATCTATCCTTTAAATGAGTATGTCCTTTCCATTAATTTGCTCCCCAAAGTTTGGAGAATCGGCTACCTGCCAAGAAATGCTGCTCCCCTCAAAATGCCCCAACCTCTTCTGTCCACCTAACCAAGTTCTTCATGGCATTTTAAGACCCAGACCCAGTTCTATGAAGTTAACTTCAAATAGATGACTTCTGCCTTCACATGCAAGAGGTCCCGTGAGAGTTAAGATAGTGATGGATTTTTTATTTTGCATAAATATCCTAAGTCAAGTATTACCTCATAAGTAATTATCAAAATCCTTATTAAAGCAATGCTTTCCACTTTTGTGACTTGGACACCATCTAAATTATCACAGAAGGCAGCAACCAAGCTGTCCCTGGCTAATGATGCCACCTTGTGGATACCCAGGGGAATTTCAGGTCTCTTGTATAATTTTTACTATTTTCTATCTTAATCCCTCACCTCCCACTACCATAAACACACACACACACACACACATGCACACACATGCATGCACACACACACACACACACACACACACACACATACACACTCAGGGATTCTCTCAGTTAAACTGATACTATGTCAAGGAAACTATTTCCTAGATGTGGATCATGAAGTGCTTAAGAACACAGGCTTTAAGTGCCTGCAGAACAGGATATGAGGTGGATTCTGGCTTCCTCCATGCTGGGCTAGGTGTTCAAGTCCTCTAACAGCCATTTCCTCTTCAAGAGGGGATGATGATCATTTTTTGCCAATCTCACAGATTAAATTTGATAATGCTCTGAAAGTGCTTGGTAGTATCTCTGTCACACACATGTGCCATCAATGCTAACTGTCATCGTCACCTTCACGTGAGTCCTGTGAAGACAATGTGTCCTCCTCCCCATTTTCTTTCCACTTAGTGCAGTCAGGCAGCAACTGCCCTCACTCCTCCCTGACTCCCAGCCTAATCGTGACACCACGGTGACATTTGCGTGTAAGGGGAAAGAATGGTGGTTTATATGTAAATGAAAATGGACAGTAAAAGCCTTCACTCAGGCAGAAGGTGTTCATTGCATCATCCAGGACATGCAGAAGTGAGCCGCAGGGGTGCTCCAGGGTGTCAAGAGAACCCATCATGCCTCTGGAGGGGTGCACTGTGGGGTACTGAAGAGAGCAGGGGTGTGAACTCGGTTGAGGTGAGTGCAGGGAGCTGGAGGGTCCGGCAAGGGAGCAGCGAGGAGCAGGTTTCAGCAGAGGGAATGGCTGCAGGAGGGCTCAGGGGAGGAAAGGGGTTCTTGCACTAGCAGAACAGAAGTTCCACCAGACTGGCACTGAGAAGGAGAACGCTGGCAGAGGGACAGGGACAGGTTGGATGCCCAGAGGTCTTTGTGCTAGGGCACCATGGGGTGGTAGACAGTTTCTCATCTAGACAGTCCTGCTTTAGAGGAAGTCCTGAGCTGAGAATGAATTTGCAAGGGCTGAGAGGGAGGCCAGGAGCCTTCTTAGGAAATGGTGATGAGAGACAGTGGTGGCCCAGGCCTGGCTGGTGCACTGGGACTTGGGAGGTTTGTAAGGACTGGGCCAAGCAGCAGGAAGTGGAAGTGGGAGGAGACCCCCACCCCTGCCTCTGAACCCTTGAGACTCTCCAGCTTGGTTAACCCCCTACTTCATAAATACCAAATAGATAGTAGGTTCTTATTCTAACTTTATAGCTCTTTATGGTCTAATCACCAGAATTGAGGGAAATTGATGCTAAACATAATATTCAAAATACAAATAGCTCCAAAGTCTATGCTGCTTGGCAGGTTTCTGAACAGAGCCTTGAGAGTCATCTCATTGGATTCCATAGTCTAGGCAGGACAGCTGTGGGTTCAGGTTGCTTTCAAATAGTTGATACCTCCAGAATGATGTTGGTTATTGATAATGGAAGAGTAAACAACATGCTATTTAAGAGCAAGAACTCTAGAACTAGTACATCCTGGGTTCAGATCCTAGTTCTCCCACTAGCCACCCGTGTGATTGTAGGCAAGTTACATAACCTCTCTGTGCCTCAGTTACCTCCTTTATAAAATATGAGTACCTGATGCAGATTAAGTGAGGTAAAACTCGAGTGCTGGGCTCTCTCTGCCACTCAGAATATTTGCTCCATGAGTGACCATGATACTATCAATATCCTAGTTGGTGAGGTGCTGGGTTGCCAAGTGAAGATCAAGTTAACCCCTCCTGGATGGGAACTGACCTCTCATGACCCAACAGGCCCCACACCTGCTCTCCATGGAGATTTGGTACTAAGGATCATGCAGCCCCCTGCTGGGCCACTGGAGTCCTTGGGCTCACAGCCTGGTGGCCATTTCCCACTTAGTGTCCGAGGAAAGGGAAGTGAAGTCAGAGCTGCAAAGCCTGGAGTCTCTGGGAACATTCTGTGGTGCTGTTAGAGGATGGGGTGGTTTCCACATTTCCACTCTTTTTCCCCCTTTTAACAAAGCGCTCTGAGTTTCTGGAGCGGGCATGATGCCAATGGCATTTACCTTTATTTAATCACTCCATAGACTCCTCCGTGAAAAGTGGGGTAACTAGGCCCCAAATATATCACCCAGAGACTCATTTTAACAACCCCAAATAAAAGCTGGATCCCAATTTCAACAGAATTACCAGGTCGTTTTCCTTCCAAGAACTCCTGACCATAGTTAAGCTCCTGGTTAGTTCTCCCAGTGGATGGCTGTCCCTAACATAGGGAGGCAGGGAGCAAGGTTTTCTGGGGTCAGTGTGACAAGCCAGGGAACTTCCCCTCACACAGTCCTGAGACCCTTGAGACAGGACCAGGTCTCTCAGCAAGAATATCAGGGGGCTGGGCGGCTCCCCATGCTCCCAGGTCCCTGRTCCACGTCCACGTCCTGCCTCAGCAACCAGCTGCGGAACTGTAGACACAAGGCTTCATCTCCCAGCACCAGCCAGTCTATGTCCTAAAGGCAGGAAGACTGACAACCCCCTTTGCATTAGGACTCAAGAGGAAAGCCACACTCCTTGGGAAGGATTCTGCGTCAAACTTTGTTTTTATATTTTAAGTTTCTCAAAAATTGCAATCTGTATGCTTGCAATCCCAGTATGCTTGGTAGCATATTCTCCTCATCATGGATGCATAAAGCCCTGGTACGTCTCACATCTGGTAACCGCCAGCTTGCATCAGATAGAAACCTCCCCTAGCAAAATTTAAGCTCTCTGAAGTCATTTGCTAATTTTCATTTTTCTTCTGCTCTTAATTCCAACCATCCTAAAGGAACCAAGACTCTGGAGAAGAGAATATTGATTATATGAGAGCTTTTGGACCTGGCCAGGAAAAAAAAAGGAACACCTATGATTTCAGTCAATGCAGAATATGCATAATATTTGAATGTGTCTTTCACATATCATTGTCTGCCCATTGCATACCCTGACAGACATCGCTAATCAACTCAGAGCTTTTTCCCACTGAGGCCAGATGTAGCCTCTAAATCCTTCTCAACACAGTACTACAGGCAGCTGTTGCCAATCATCCAGGGTTGACAAATGAGGCAAGATCTATGGTAGGTCCCTGACTTGGAAGTTTGGAAGAGTGGGAATAAGACCAAATCAGGAAACTTAGACATATGAAAAAGATCATAAAAATGTTGCAGTTCACTGCACAGAAGAAACCAAGGTCTAGAAGGTTAAAAGTGTAGAGAGACAGAGAGCCAATTCTCTGCAGTAAGCATGTGGAACTCTGCTCCTGTCCTTACTTATCCAAAATGCCCTGTCTATCAACCCAGCTGTCTCTCTCAGCATCAAAGTCAAGTTCTTGGTCACTTAGGTAAAATGACTCTGGCAAAGAGAGGGAGAGAGAGCGCCAGTCACCTAAGAGGGGTTTTGCTTCTGGTTTTTGTACAATTTCCTTTAACTCATTGCCACTATCAGTGATTCATTGTTCAGGCAGGTGATCTATAGGACAATCAGGAGTGGTCATTACTAGCAAATGATAGCTACAAGCACAGAGCGCAAGAAGCTATCCGCCGGCCAGATGGCTCCTGTGGTTTTTAATATCGAACACCTCTCATCASGATGTTCCTGCTCCTGCAGATAAGAAAGGGTCAGTATTCAATCCTACGTAACGACATAACAAGGAGAGTAGCAGCCTGCTGCCCTGCCCCCACTCGAGGCCTTGTTAGGATTTTGAAACTACTAGACACGTCTTGGGCGTTTGCCATAAATATTGATTGTTTAATATTCCAAGCAATGGAAACTAACCCATAAAAATCACATCTGGGAAAATTAAGAGTGGCGGGTGGAATGGGGACCTACCCTTCCTGACAAATTTCAATTCGAAATTAAATTGGGGCCTTCAGCACTAAGATAGGGACTCTTGACCCCTGAGTAATTACTTTCCAACATCATTTCTGTTAATTTGGAGGAGATATTTCTATTCCGGGAATCTCTGGAAAGGCCTATTTCATGAAGATGAAGCAGTGTCTGAGAAACACCTGCTTGCAGTTCCCTTCAGTGACAGGCACAGTGCCGTCCTCGGTGGTGGGCTCACTCCAGGCTGCTCAAAGCCCCACTCGGCACTCTCTTCCTTACACCAGCAGACTCCAGAGTCATTGAGACAAACGCCACAGCTTGCAACCTAGAAGCTCTGCAGGCTCCTGATGGGCCCCGGGGACAGGGACATCTGCACAGGCAATTCCTTCCCTGATATTGGTCCTCGATACTGAGGGAACATGTATGGAATATGAAATATGGTAGCGTTTCCAGGGAACAGTGCACCCGCTCATTCACTCACTAGTTCATTGGCTCAGTGAATATTTATGGAGGTTCCCCACTATGCCAGGCCCGCCCCATACTTGGTGCAGAGGATACAAGAGAGGAAAACATGGCCCCTGCCCTCAGGGGGTCCCAAGAATGTAGCAGGAGAACAAAACCAGAAAATCATCCTACAGCATGCTCAGCACAAGGACCTGACCTTGCCCTTGGGCTCCAAGAGCCAACAGCAAGAGAGGGGGCTGGGGCTACCTCTGGCCCCCACTGGAGGGGTAAAAGCAGGGCACCAGACACGGAGGGACCTGGGAGTGACCACAGGGCCAGGCAGGTGAGTGGAGGGAGGGGTCAAGGTTGCTGTGGTTCTGGATCCTGGATTTAGAGGGCAAGTGCAGAGGCCTCAGGGGACTGGAGATGAGTCAGTGTTAGGGACAGCGAGTTTGAACACATCCCACCAGAGAAGGTCTGGTTTCCTTGAGGGCCTAGCTTATTTATGAGTCTTTGTGCTGAGGATGTAAGGGGTTCTCATAAAATGCTGGATTCACAAATAAATGTGTGTATGTGCAAGGAACCCACGTGCAAATGCTTTTCCTGTGGGCTGCCACTCTGAGGAAGTCTAGTGTCAGCCCATTTCAGAGAGGAGCAAACCCTTCAAAAGGCTTGTGGGGTAAGAGAGGAGCAAGGACAAGCTCAAAGATAAAAACAACTAAAAATATAACAGGCAGGTGACACGAAAGCACCATCAATCGTAGGAAAATGCAAGTAAGCCCTAATGAGACACCACGCCAGAGTGGTCATGAATTCCCTAGGATTGTTGGAACCCAAAGAGACGGCAGCAATAAGTACTGGAGAGGACATGAGTGAAGCAGTGACCCATGGGCTTCTGGTGGTGACGTCTAGCGGCACAGCCCCTGGGAAAACAATTTGGCTGTTCCTTATAAGCACACACTTCTGGTATGCCTCAGCAAGCCTCTCCTAGATTTCTACCCAACAGAAATGAAAATGTGCTCAATAAAAAAATCCATAAATGTTCACAATGGCATGGCCAAAGTGGAGGGCAGCCCAAAGGTCCATCCGCGAGTGAATGGGTGAGCACGCTGTGGCCTCTCCAWGACATGTGGCATCAATCAGCGACACAAAGGGAGACGTGTGATACCTCCTAAACCACGAGGAACCTCAAAGACACCTTGCAAAGGAAGTAAGCCAGACCCAGAAGACCTGACCCTGAAGGACCCTCTGATACGAACTTTCCTGAAAAGGTAGATGGTGAGCAGATGATGCCCATGGACCCTGGGGGAGGCAGTGTCCAGGCTGCGTGGCAGCAGGGGTCAGGGGCCGCACAGCCAGAAACATTTCCTAAAACTCATCAAAATGAATATGTTCCATGGTTAGATTCTAATATAAGTTTTTCCTCAATGAAACTGTWATTTAAAAACACAAAGGCAGAGAGAACAGTGAGGTTCGGACCAGCCTCCTAAGGGCTGGCCTCTGTACAGGACCCTGCAGACGAGGTGGGATGTCAGCAGGTTGAGAAGGCAGACAGGAGGTATGGGCAAGGAAGGAAACACGGGCTGCTCTTGGAAGTGAGAGGGTGCCAGGCACATAGGAGTGATGTCTAGGCCTCTTTTTGCTGGACATTTGAATGGAGAAAAGTAGAGAAAAGTTTAAAAAAATGGTTGTGGCTGGACCAGATTCCAGAAGCTGAGACTGGTCAAGCGGATGCATTTATGATGTCATCTGGCAGACAGTGGGGAGCCAGCAATCATTCCAGAGGAGGGGAAAGACAAATGGGACAGCAGCCAGGCTTGTGTGCTGCAAGGGCCAGTGGCCAAGGCAGAGCACTCACTAAAAGGCTCGCAGACCTGGAGGTGGTGAGTATGGCCAAATGGGCATGGCTCACCTGTGTCCATGATGCAAAGGAACAGAGAGGCTCATTGTACCAGATGGAAAAGAAAATAACAGGAGACATCACTTATTTAGTGATTTCTACAATCTGGGCCCTAGTTTAAAGAATTGCTGCTCTGGAGGGAAGAGCCTGCCATGTACAGAATGAGCCAAATGGATTGATGATCATCTTTAGGTTCACTGCAAAGGAAAGGAATAGAGATTAGGGGAGTTACAAAATGCTGGTCTAAGGTGCCTTACGAGAAGCAGGGGCAGGGACACGTGTTCTAAATAAGAGACTTCCAGGGTGGAGGGACGATGAGTGAGACAAATGACAAAGACAGGCGTACAGGGCTCTCTGGCCCAGGAAGGCAGGAGGGCCTGGTGCGGCTGCTAGTCTAGGTGGAGGCCAGCACTCCTTTCTTTGTTCTTTTTAGTAGTGCTGCGGATCAAGCCCAGGCCCCCACACACCAGCAAGTGCTCTACCACTGAGCTGTACCCCGCTGCTTCCATAAATGTACCCAACACACACTAGGCACAAAGACAGGCCCAAAGAGGTAGAAGATCGTTGCACTGGGGCTGCTTCTGGGATCAGTCCTCCCCTGGCTACAGTTAAAACAATATGCACAGCCTTCTCTTCTGGGTCCAGGAAAAAGGACTGTGGGGAATTGTCATTCAATGTCCCCAAGGCTGGCTTACCCCAGGCCATTGAAAAGCAGAGAGCCATTCTGCTTCCTGAAAGCTGAATGCAGTTGTTTGGGGGAAACATATAGTTGTTTATCAACACTTTTAAAAATAAATAGCCAACACTGAAAGGCCAGGAAATTTCATATAAAGTGGGCAGGYTTTAGCTTCTCTTGAGCAATTGGGAATTCCATTCTTGCTGTGGCCCTACCCTGCATGGCACCAGTTGGTCAGAGCTGAAAGGCACTTGTCCTTGTTCAACATCAGTGGCCCTGGATTTGCTCTTCATTCATTCATTTGCTCCTTCATTCAATGAGTATTTATTGAGCACCTAGTAGGTGCCAGGCGCTGCTGTGGGACATGGAGACACAGCAAAGAGCAGCCTGGGGCTCATAGTCTCACAAGGAGAGCAAGACAATAAACAAAGTGGTCTGTAGTTCAGGGGACGTGCACCAAGAAAAATAAAGGAGATGGAAGAAGGTAGAGAAGTGTCCAGTATCCAGACAGATGATCAGGGCAGAGGAGCCTGTCTGGTCAGCTGACTCCTGAGCCAAACTTGATTAAAATGAGAGAACAAGCCCTCGGACAAGGGACAGCAAGTGAAATCGGGTCCCCCGTGAGGGAGGAACAGAGAGAGAAATGAGCACAGGGCAGAGGGTGTCCAGGCTCATGACAGTTGGGATTTTGTTCTGAGTGGGTTGAGGAGTGGTTGAGTGGGTTGGGGAGTGTGGTGGGCATACTCATTTGTGTGGTAGACTGGCCCCTACAAGCATCCAGATGTTTAAAGCAAGCTGGACAGAGGCTTACAGTTAAAGACGGGTTCTATATCTAGGGAGGGAACATAAACCAAACTCTGAGCAGGAATTTCCTGATCTGCAAAATATGATGTTTGTGCCGAAGAATGACCCCAAACTTAGCAGTGACCTTGAATTAACTGCTATCTATGGACAGTCCACACACAGGGAAGCCACTCAGAAAAGCAGAACCCTGGGCCTAGACTCCATCGTGCCAGGTGAGAAAGTTCCCAGTGGCCATGTATCTGGAAGCTTCCACCTGATTCCCTTACAGAAAGGTCCTCTCACCTCTTTCTTTACCAGTAATGTCACACTCCGCTGACATACATACACAACACCTTAGGCAAATCCTAGGATGACTTTATTTTGGCGACTTGAGTTAGTGCCCATAATCTCCCAACTCAGACAGGAAAAACCCAATCCTTCTCTCCAAAACAAAGAGACGAGCAGCCCTGATGTTTAACATGAACCCCGTGCCCAGACGGCGAAGAGCGGGCGACATTGGATACGCGGAAAGCATCTACTCACAATCAGAACGTGATCCCGGCCCATGGTGATGACCGTCCGGTTCACYGTGCGAAGCAGCTGGACCATGATCTCTTGGATGTGGTGGTGGGTGAAGGCCTGCAACAGAGACATCTGTGTGACAACCAGGCATGGTGCCCTCGCAGCCCTTCAAAGACCCCGGCAAGGCTGGGTAGACACGGTGATCACCAACAGCACTGCCACCGCCAACACCAGCCTATCCCCTCCTGATCACCGTTTTTCATCATCACATCTCTACCCCACTGACACGGACATGGTGCCCCAGGAGCTCCAACAGTCACCTTGAGTAGTTAGTGAAGGGRAGCTTACTTAGGCTTGAGAATCAGGACTTTACAAGTACTAGCAGTGTGGCGCTGGCTGGGTTAGTAACTTCTCTAAACCTTGGCTTGACCTAACCTGGAGTAAGGAGGGAATTCGGCCCAGAGAATTGGTTGCTCAGCACTGGAGAAGCTGAGGGACCAACAGAAGGAAGCCACTGCCACCCTAGGCTGCAGGGACTAACAGGAGGCAGTGTTCCTGGAGACCAGGGTGGGGTGGTGAGGTGGGCACTGGGACCACTGGGGGCACTCATGCAGCTGAAGTCACACCACCCATGTTGGGGTGGAAATCTGTGGTGCCGGGGTGTAACATACACAGGGTTCCACCCACTTCAAGTGCAGGCCCCTGAGCTTTCTGTAGGACTTGCTGGCACTGGATTTTTTGCTGTGGTAAGCAAGGTTTGCATGCACATTCACCCACACCCTCAGACTGCGACACCAGCACCACCCCTAGACAGCTTCACCCCTGCATTCCAGTGAGGGTGAACATAACCATGTGGGAAAACCTGGAACTTTAGGTTCAGAAGCACCTGGTCTGACTTTCAACGCTGTGCAGCCTCACTTAGCATTTAACCCTCCTGAGCCTTGACTTCCTCATCAACAAAGCATGGAGCTTGTCCTGAGGCCCGTGTGAACATAAAAGTGACATATGCAATTCTGAAAAGACACACGTGCCCAGTTCCCCTGAAGGAGATTCTGTAGATGTAAAATATAGATCATGCATTAGCAATTTCTGAATTTTAGGGACTTCATTCTGATAGCTGAGCACCATGGGCACAGGCCCTGGGAAGCTCTGGAGATGGAGGCTTGAGTTTGGGGAAGGCTCTGTCTCCAGGAACCAGCCAGAGCCTGACCTAAAGAAGGTGCTCAGTCAATGGTAGTGCCATGGCTCCTCCATGGGCAGCCTCTGCTGCGTCCAACCCTGCTAAACTTTTGTCTCTTCTGAACCAATGGAAGGAAACAGATTCACATTTGGAAGAGGATGAGAAGAAGGAAGATGGGCTAATTACTTAAAAGGTCCTCACCTCCCAACATCTAGAGATGAATCACCTGAGCTTGCTTTCCTTTCCGCATCAAATTCATTTCTCTGGCACTTTGGCGAATCCTCCATTTTCCAGCCCATGGATCCACCAGCAAAGCTCTGCCAATAGCTTCTGCCAGAGCACACACATATTTTACCGTAGGAGTTCTTGAGCTCCATCAGCCCAGCAAGACCTCAGTCCTTCTCCTGCCTTGATCCCCACCACCCAGGTCTTTCCATTCCTGAGGCTCAGGGTGGGGAGGGATAGCATGTTTCTGCACTTCTTGGCTAAAGGCAAACCCCCCTCTAGACTTCCTTCTTTATTTGTTTAAGCCTTTCGATGAGTTATAATATTCTCTTTCTTGAATTATATAAATATGATGCTCATGGTTATAACAGCAAAAGGTGGCATTCATGCGTTCTTGCTGAATTCCTGGCACTCTGCTAAGCACGTTACCTGTTTTCACATCAAAATAAACAGTATTGTGATTTCTATTACTTAAATGAGGAAACAGAAGCCCAGAGGGGTTAAGTAACTTGCCCAGGGTCACCCAGAAAGGAAGTCCAGGAAGAAGGATTCAAATCCAGCAGTCTAGCTCMAGAATCTGTTCCCTTCCCAAACTCACCCAGGCAGACTGGAACACGATCACACATCTCTGGTTGTTACTTTGGGGCTTCATTAGCCTCCTTCCATCTGTCAAGATGGATGGACCCTGTCTTCAACTGGGCCAACTTCTAATTCCTTCAGTGACTTCTGATCTTTTCCCTCTTTTTCAGAAAGCCTTCAGTGCCATGTATTCATTACTCCTTTATCTTTCCTATTCTCCCTTTGCAATTTCATCAAATTTATATAATGGCTTCCATTTGATGCAATTTTTTTCCCCCAGGATTACATTTCTTCCCTTACCAAAAGAGATATTAAAACCCCCCTTTTCCTCTTGAACTTCTGCTCCTTGCTACTTTTAAATTGCCACTTCTTCTTAGTCCAAAGAGGAGCAATTAAACTGGCTCAGGAAATTCGGTACTTAAAAGTGGGAAAGCATCCATTTCAATTCATCTCACTCTGAAAGCTCCCAATATAGGAGGAGTGTTAGCCACATGTTCTGAGATCAGACAGATGTGAATTCGAATCCCAACTCTTCTCATTTGAGCTGGGTGACCTTGGGCAAATTGCTTTTCTTCTCTGAGTTTCATTTTCTGCGTTTATAAAACGTGGGCAACACTAGAAACCTCAAAGTTTATTGGTTTACAGAATAGAAGGTGATGCAGAGAAAGTCCCCAAGATCAAGAGCCAGGGCACAGTGAGCCTCAGGAAGGACCGTCACTCCTTTGGTTGGCATCAGCATCCTGGCTGGGCCTGCAGATCCCCAACATGTAGCAGAAAGTGCAGCACAAGGCGAGGCGTTCAATAAACTGTGGGTGATATGAAGATGTCGCCCAAAGAACGTATAGCATATATGCAAATGGAAAACTTTCAAGATGATAAACCTGCGCCCAGCAGGAAAAGTGCAGTCACAAATCACCCACTGTTAATTGCACCAGTGAGAGGCAAGTGGAGGAAACTCCCGGAAAGTGTCCTCAGGGCCCCAACTAAACGGTGGCTTGTAATTGAAATGACAAAATCAGTCTTTGCGTTATGGCCGCAGCAAAGGAATTAATCCACCCAACCCAAACAGGCTGCAAATTGCAGCAATTTTTTTCTTTTAATGATTGCAGGCTATGGTCTCTGGAAGGGGATCTCAGGCTCATGCCTGAGCCCCGTCCACAGGTACCACAGCAGGAGAGCTGGCTGTGGGTGGGTGGGGAGCTGGGATGGGGGGGAGCCAGCCCCAGTGTCTTCTTGGCACCCTAAGCCATGGAATTTTCTAGAATAAAATTCAAAACTCCTGATTATTTATATTTTCAGAATAACAATCGACAATGCCAGGGATGGGATGATTTTAAGTACAATACAGGATTTCAAAACACTGAATCAAATTATATGAAAGACATGTCCTTTGCTCTTATTTTTTTTTTGCCACCCTTCTGATGACATGGGTAGAAAAACCTCCATTTGGTGTGGACATGTCTCTAAGGCCTCTTTAGTTCAGGCAATATCCCCTTTGGGGAGATGAGGTGCTGGGGTTGGAACCCAGGACCTCACACAACAAACCCCCCCCCCTTTTTTTTTAACAGAGAGGGAGGCCCTCATATGGGAGCAGACAATGGGCAAACCACATTTAGTTAGAGCCTAGTAACAATGATTTGTTTTCACTGTGTTCATTTTTAAGTTATTTATGCTTTTGACAAGTATGCAGTAAAAAGATCCAAAACTTGGAAATAAAGCAAAATGAGGACTTCATGACATTTTAATGGAATGTTTCTGATAGACCCCACGGAGGAACCTCTTGCTAACCATCCACAACTGGTTAGAAACCAGAAATTTTATAAAAGGTTAGCTTATAGCAAAATAACAAAGTTTTATGTTTGCTTGCTGGCTTGCCAAAGGCTGTCATATTATTGCTCAGTATCCACTTTATCTTGGACCTAATGACAATTATGCACAAGTATCTTCACTCCCACGAAAAATGAAGGCACTCAAACACTTTTAACCAGCTCATTTGCTGTCCCGACGGTTCCCGAGCTTGTTAAATTAAACTTGGACGTGGGTCAGTATCCAATTGTGTGAGATGGTATTTTTTAACAATTTAGGGAGTCAATTTTTGTACGAGTAATGCTGACTATATACAAGCAATGATATAAAATTTTGTTTAACTTTATGAAAGTGGTAATATATATACAGTTTTTAAAATGTATTCTCTGAGGTTCATTTAAAACAAACAAACAACAACAAATAAAACCCAGCAGTCTCAGATGCCCTCCTCCCCAGAGGAACTTCTTTACGTATTTCGTAGTCATGGCAGGTATATCTTGATTTTAGGAACATGTCACCAATGCTTGTACTACTCCATTTCAAAACTTTTGTTTGATTCAGTGCTTTTATCTATCAACTGATTTAGTGCTGTTATCTATCAACTGATTTAGTGCTGTTATCTATCAACCATAAAAGACAAGCAGTTCAGCTGGGAGCAATGGCACACACCTGCAATCTCAACAGTCAGGAGGCTGGGGCAGAAGGATCACAAGTTCAAAACCAGCCTCAGCAACTTAGCGAGGTCCTAAGCAACTCAGTGAGACCCTGTCTCTAAATTAAATACAAAATAGGGCTGGGGATGTGGCTCAGTGGTTGAGTGCCCTTGGGTTTAATCCCTGGTAGTGAAAAAAAAAAAGAAGCATTTCTCTTCTCCCAACCCTCATCAGGCATACCCACCCATCCCATAGAGTTATAGTATAATCTTGGTTTGATTGACACTTGGGTATTGATAAGAGTTTGATTATGTAGATGCTATTCTCATGCAATGGTAAAGTATGAGGAATCCCCACCTCCTAAACAACTTTACTCTCACCCACAAAAAAAGGAATTGAAAAAACTCTGAAACCCTTTTAGTTCTCCTGTGCTCTTTTGCATGATTCCCCATTGCCTCTTCTCCTAATTTTCAAAGTTCCTTCTGCCTATTTTTAAGTCTTCTTCCTCCAAGAACCTGGTTCCTCCTGGTGGCTCTTCTCTTGTTTGCTCTGAGCTCCCTCTGCCTCCTGTGAGCGCTGCCCTGGCCCTTCCTCCGTGAGGCTGTGTTCTCTCTGCAGTGTGGGTGACGTGACAGCTGACTGCCCATTCAGCCTGGTTGTCTGTGACCTTCCCT